CGTAGTCTGGATTTTGGGTACTCCTTTGTGGCCAATTTGAGTGGGTAATCTTGGTCCAATTTGTGTAGTACTTCTATGTGATTTTTCGGCTCTTGATTTAGGCCTCGATCCATCCACTTTGGTGCCAATAGTTTGGAACTTTTGATACCGAAGTTGATTTCAAATTTACTTTCATTATTTCCATTATTTATCTCATAGTTAACCTACTTTGTGTTTTTTAATTGATTGATAAGCGTATTTATCACTACAAACCGTTATCAAAGCCTCGTTTTAGGCTATATAGTGGTTAATTTTTTATCTTTGTGCTAGAATTAATCTAAAGAAAATTTTGAACATGTGTTGGTGGTACAATTGAAGCGTAGGTCAGCTGATTTTGTAATAATAACTTGAATCTTTAATTAATTTCAAATCTCTTATAGTTACAGACCATAGATAGGCCCGCTCTTATAAATTATCTAAAACCTTTGAAATTTATGCAATAACATGTCATTGTGTGGGGTGACCAATAGGATTGTGGCCTTACCCGATGCTAGTATTTTAGGACTATTTGCCTAAATTGTGATATTATCATTTTTGTGGCTTCATTGACTGTTGCATAATTTTGTTTTATCATTGAGCTATTTGTGATTAGATATGTTATCTTTGACCTTAGCCGCTCGACAATTCCCTTGAGACTGAAATCATGAATCTCATGAAAATATTGAAATTTAGACTGGTGTATATCTGCAATCTCTAGGACTTTTCTATGTGATTGTCTCTCTGAAGGTTGTTTCACATCTTACATGTCTTATCTGTTAAAATGTCTCACACCATTTTGACTTGGGTGTCTTTAATGGTAAATGTGATTTTTCTATCTGACAACAAAAGATGAAAAAAATTTTAGTACAACAAAAGGTTCAAAAGCCATTGATAATACTTTTTCGACAACTATGACCGAGGATCAGAAAAATGAGTTTGTCGAAATTTCTTATACCTCTATTATCTTGCACTTATCTGATTTTATTTTGTCAAAAGTTGGTAAACATATTTCTGCCAAAATGTTTTTGGAAAAAGCTTGAAAAGCTTTTATTTGACTCAATCCATACCCTATAAACGTTTCTTTTTTGAAAGTTTTTTCAGTTTCCAAATTGATCACTCAAAATATTTAGATGACAATCTTGATGTTTTCAACAAATTGGTTCAAGATAATGCAAAATGGGATGAAAAGATTTCAGATGAATATAAAGCTATTATTCTATTGAATAATATTCCTGATAACTATAAAGAAGTCAAGAATACAATCAAATATGGGAGCGAGACCCTTGCATCTAATGTAGTCATCAATCCTTTAAAAAATAAGGAGATGAAGATGAAATTTGAAAGAAACAAGAGAAAAATAGGATAGATTCACTAAATGAAGTGTAAATCTCAATCTAGGGATTGTGAGGGGCAAAACATTGGTGGAAAGAAAAAGTGAAGATGTAGATCTAAGTCACAGGGGAAGGCAAAGGAGAGGAAATGTTACGGCTGTGGGAAATTAATACATTTCATAAATGATTACCTAAAAGAGGAAAACAAATTGAGAGATCAAAGTGGTCGTAAACCTAGGAAGGAAAAAATTGTTTTCCCAAGAGATGAAACCCAAGGAGTTTTACATGCTCTTAGATATTAAACTGGCTATAATTAACCTATCTATGAACTGTCTTATGCACGAGTGGATTTTTATTTGATCATTTGCATGAGTTTGATCATGGGCATGTAGTTGTAAGGGGTGGAGTCGCATATAAGATCATTGGTATGGGTAGTGTG